GTGTTCGACTAGACTCATTGGCATTGACTACAGGATAATGGCATCTTAAAATGGAAATTTGAACATTATGACATTGGAGTTATCTAACTGGATCTTGGATTTTGTGGCATGTTAATTGAATGTTAAATGTTTTTATTGATGACTTTAATGTTTTAATTGAGCCTTATTGTTTTTAATCGAATTTATATGTTGACAGCATCACTGATGCTTATGTAAGCCGCCCTGAGTCCCCTGTGGGAGAAGGGCGGGGTAAAAATGAAGGAAATAAATAAATAAATAGATTGCCCGTGTCTCTTCCAAACCTATGAGTCTATAAGTAACATTCCCTTTTCTTTCATGGCACACAAAGCCAATTCCTTATGTGGTCAATCCTGCAATGGAAAATGGATGTGGTGAAGAACATTTGCAGGAGAAAAATGAAATGTGCCTATATACCGTGGTGCTACAGTTCTTCAGCGAGCCTTAATTTGAGCCCCATTTTTAATTCCTCTATTCCATATTGCTGGAAAATGTTGCTTACTCTAAGACCCCTACTACACTGCCATATCATGCAGATTATCGAAGCAGATAATAGGAGCTCCATCCTGTCTGTTGAGAGAAATCATATGACAACAATGACAGACAAACACAGTCTTGAGGAAATATTTATTTTGCCAAAATACACGCAAAAGAGAAAAAAACCTCTTCTGAATGGCCATTCTTTCATTGCTGGAAATGGGTAACAATATTGTATTAGCTTTCTTACATTTTCTTTCATTGCTGAGATAATAGTTCAAGATCTTTCTGCCCCTTCCCTTGGCCATAGCACAGCGATAAAGCACATGTTTTTGCATGCAGAAGGTTGCAGGTTGGAGTCGGGACAACAGTGGGACTCTCTGCCTCAGAGTGTAGTGGAAGCTCCTTCTTTGGAGGTTTTTAAACAGAGGCTGGATGGCCAACTGTCAGGCGTGCTTTGATTGTGCTTTTCCTGCATGGCAGGGGGTTGGACTGGATGGCCTTTGAGGTCCCTTCCAACTCTATGATTTTATTATCTCCAATTACTAGAAGGGCTGCTTGATAGTTTTCATGTCAGGGAGAGAAGGACTCTCTTACAGCTTTTAGTCTAAACATTACCAGAACAAAATAAGCTACTGAGCCTATTGGGGAGAGTTAGAGTTTTGAATTTTGGATAGATTAAAATCTGGAGTGGATTTACTGGCTCACTAGTGTGGCCCAGTATAAATTCATGCTTAATGTTCAGATGGAAATTACATAAATGGTTACACTGAGTAGTGACGTTTTCTTAGTAGCTCCTCGTTATTACATTTTAAATAACTATGAATGAGAAATGAGTGGGCATTTCTTCAGAACTGTTTAGGGAATATTACTATCTGATTTGCATCTTAAACATTTATATAGTTATTCTTTTGTAAGCCAGGATGGAAATCAGCTAAAAAATGAGTCCCATTTAGTCCAACAAGGCTTCTTTGGGAGTGCAATGCTATGTACATTAATGTTAGCTGTTTTGCAGGAAACATATTCCTGATGACAGTGTATCTCTGACTGTAAAGTGGTAGTGGAACAAAGAATCTAGTATGGAGTTTTTGACCATATTTTCAAGAATCTATTGAAACTGCTAAATCCTTTCCTTGGATTGCTCTTTTATAATTTGATTTAAAACATGCAGCAGATGCAACATTTCTTCTGTCTAAAAGGGTCTTGTGCAATTCAAAATCTTTTGAATTTTTACTCTTAAGTAAATAACACCAGCTCCCCCACCCAGCTTTTTTATTTTCAAAGAAATGCCCACAACAGGGTTTATTTGGAAAGAAAGAACCTACATGATCTACTTGTTTGAGTTCTGGACTAGGATTCCGGGAGACCAGAGTTCAAATCCCTTCCCAGCCATGAAAACCAACCAAATGATCATGGGTAAGTTACATTCTTCCCATCTAAGAAAAGTAATGCAGTAGCAAACCCTGAATAAATCATGCCAACCCCCCAACCCCCCAAAATAAACTACAATAGGGTTTCCACAGACCAGAGCCTGCTTTGAGATGCATAACAAGAAGTGCAATGTAATGTTTGTGTCTGTGGAAGGGAACGGAAACTTTCCCCATCATATATTGATCCTACTTCAAGATGAGACTTTCTAATTTAGGCTGGATCTACATTGCCATATAATCTAGATTAGGCTTCCTCAAACTGCAGGCCCCCCAGCTGTTTGGGTCTTCAGCTCCCAGAATTCCTGACAATTGAACAAGCTTATTAGGACTTCTGGGAGTTGGAGGCCCAAACAGATGGAGGGCCGCAGTTTGAGGATGCCTGATCTAGATTATCAAATCAGATAATCCAGATGATCTGTTTTGAACTTGATTATATGAGTCTACACTGTTGCGGTGGTGCAAAAAAGAGCCGTAATGGCGCAATGGGTTAAACCCTTGTGCCGGTTGAACTGCTGACCTGAAGGTCGGCAGTTCAAATCTGTGAGACAGATATGGGGTGAGCTCCCATCTGTCAGCCCTAGCTTCTCATGTGGGGAAACGAGAGAAGCCTCCCAGCAGAATGGTAATACATCCAGGCGTCCCCTGGGCAACGTTCTTGCAGACGGCCGATTCTCTCACACCAGAAGCAACTTGCAGTATGTTTGCTTCTGACATGATTTTTATAAAAATCAAGTTCAAGGCAGATCAACTGAATTTTATTTGGCAGCGTAGATGGGACCTTATTAATAAAAATAAATAATAAAAATAAAATTTGAGGGATTTTAAACCCCAAGAGGCATCTCTAGTGTGCAGTTTAATTTTCAAATCATGTTGTTTTGAGTCAGGCCCCTTCTACACAGCCATATAATCCAGATTATCAAAACAGATAACCCACTTTCTCTGCTTTGAACTGGATTGTATGAGTCTACACTGCCATATAATCCAGTTCAAATCAGATTATCTAGATTTTATATGGCAATGTAGAAGGGGCCTTAGTGACAAAGCATTGATCTTAGAAAAATGACAAATTAAGCTAAACCTCTCCAAATAGTTTTCGCTCTAGGAATGAATATTTTCCTAGAGGAGTTTCAGAAATTGCTGATTGTGGACTCTTCTCCACATCATCCATTTCCTCTTCAATGGGCAGGGTTTACTGTTCACTTTCCAAGAAGCAAATGGCTTGAATTTTTAATGGGAATGAAGAGGTGAACTTAAGCCTACAAATAGGTGCACCACCAGACTCTTACCTTCAGTTATGTGAAAGCAAATGAAACTAGAGGTTAGTCGATGGATTGCACCAGTTAATCGACTCAATAGCTTCAGATCTAAATGAAGATGACACCTAAGACTAAAGAAGAGACTAAAGAAAATATGAGGTTCCCTGGGAGGTTTTGGACCAATCTCTCTGGAGCAGGCATGGGCAAATTTTGGCCCTCCAGGTGTTTTGGACTTCAACTCCCACAATTCCTGGCCTCGGGCCCCTTCCTTTTCCCCCTCAGCCGCTTAAGCGGCTCTAGACTGCTCTAGACTGACCTACCTTGCATGGCCATGAACTCCACCCTGAGAAAGGACAGGACAGAAATGTAACAAACAATTCTTATGGCATTTCAACATTGCAAAGCCTATGTCCTGGCTTTGTTTCATCTTATCCTAAATGAAAATAAAAGCAGACTTTGGGCGACTTTGTATATGCCATTTTGTTTTGCTATTACTTTAACCCATAACACAACAAAGCTTCAGAGAGACTTCAGAGAGACTCCCAATGTCAAGACTTACTGAGTTGTGAAACTGTATTTCTTTTTTGTTTTTCCCACAGTAGAAGACAGGCTCAAAGAGTTGAGGGACTACAGGCATACCTCACATAGGTGCTTTATTTTAGAGGGTTTCACCAATTTGGTGCTTTTTAATGAAACAACAGTACTGTGAAAACCAGTCCAGTTTATAACATGTATTCACTTTGTATCTCAGTATAATATTTTGGTATTATTATTATTATTATTATTATTATTATTATTATTATTATTATTAGAAACACAAAAAGATGAGTGCACAGCAGACACTCTGCTGGCTGTTGTATTGGATCACATGTCAGACTTTCCAAGTGTCTAAGACGGTGTGATGTATCGGCGAATAATGCGTGCAAATCCCAGTAAGGTGGCCTTCTGCAGCTGGCAGATGGTAATCTTATCAGTGCCGATTGTGTTTAAGTGCAGGCCAAGGTCTTTAGGCACTGCACCCAGTATGCCAATCACCACTGGGACCACCTTTACTGGCTTATTATTATTATTATTATTATTATTATTATTATTATTATTGCTACTCTTGCAAAAGCCCAGCACTATTAAGCACTCAATCAATGATCATGTAATATGTGTATTGGCTTCTGTAGGAAGTGAATAAGAAGGGCTGGGATTCACTTCAAGGTGACATTTGCTTTATAGCAATGGTTTGGAATCTGGTTCACCATATGAGTGAGATATGCCTGACATTTGCTTTATAGTAATGGTTTGGAATCTAGCTCGCCATATTGGCGAAATATGCCTGCACAGGATGCCATTTCCATTAGACAATCACATAGAAAAATTTAGATCTTGCAAAGAAGTCCAACCTGCTTAAGCAAGAGGCTGAAACGGACAGGTTCAAGTCCCCATTGAGCTATGAAACTAATTGGCTGACCTGAGGCCATCCCAGCTCTCTTCACTGTCCTGCCTCACAAGGTTGTTATGAAGACAATGAAGAGACAAAGATCTGTATGGACTACCTTCAACTCATTGCAAGAAGATGGAATATAAATGCAAGTCTCAGTAGAGGGGAAGAGGGAGAATGAGCAGATTGTGGATCACTGGTTTTCTAAATCAGAGCATTGGTCAAATAGCAAAATGCGATAGCAAGAATTTGAGCCTGGACGCTACAACCCAATTCCTGCAACACCTTTTGGGATAATGCTGAGCGCAGGGTAGGAACTGTGTCACCCTCCAGACATGAAACTGCTACTCCCAGTTTTCTTCACCATTTGTTATGCTGCTATGGGTTGCAGAGAGCTGTCGTTTGTGAACTACTGGAGGGCCACACAAGCTCCCCACCCGGAAAAATCAAGAAGAAGAATAGGAGAAAGAAACATAGTGTGTAGGTGTACATATCTATTTTTCAACATAGGGACTTCTGCGATGATGACCAAGGTCTACACTAGCACGAAAACACATTTATTAACTAGTGTAAACCTATGAATGAGTAACACGCAATCAAGAGTAAAACAACATTAACAAAGGATTCCTGGGATTACAAGCCTTGGAGACGGCATCTGCTATAAACGGATCATCTAGTCCACACCGCATGATGGTTTACAGCAACTTAGGAGTGTACCATTTCCACGAATTCTGCACCAAAGGGAGAAAATATGAATTGGTTGGTCGCTGGCAGTTGCTTTTTTCCCCAAGCAAAAGCAAGAGGGCATGGCAAAAGCAGAAAAGGGGGGCAAGCTAGGGTTCTCCAGATGCTGGACTAAGGCCCCTTCTACCTGGATTATATGAGTCTACACTTCCATATACTCCAGTTCAAAGCAGAAAATCTGGATTTTATGTGGCAGTGTAGAAGGGGCCTAAGAAATGACCAGTCCTAATCCACCATCAGTACATATATCTTGGCTGCGAGTTTGTACTGGAATGAGATAGTTTCCTGTTTTGATTGTGGACATTCTAGAAGCTTTGTAAAGAGATAGACTTTTTTCTATCATCCCTTAGTACAATTATCACGCATAGATCCAGAGTGTCACTCAGGGTCTATCAAGGGCTACATCTGCTTTATGGTTGTCTTCAGAGGGCCATTGAATCAATGGATGGAGAATCCATGGATCCAGAGAGCTAACTATATATTATTTTACATAGTGATCATTACTCTTTAGTTTTAACCCTATTTGGATCTTCATATGTTATTGAATGAAAACTCCTATCGCTTGATTACTGGAGATAATGGGAATTGCAACCCAACACCACTTGTGACTCGAATGTTGGGGAAAAGTTAAAGGACATCTTAAAGTCAGACATCCTATACATAAGCCTTGTATCTAAATCCAAACCCCACTATCCTGACCAAATAGAACAACTGCAGCCTTTCAGATGTTACTGTATCCCAGCTCCCATCAACTCTAATAATGATGTCTAATAATGAGGAATATAGGAGTTGTAGTCCAACATCTGGAGAAGAGCCACATCTAATGACATGGCAGGCAAGATTTGGCCCACAGACCTTGGGTTTCACCCATCTGATATAGGTTATCATTGTAAGTGACTGTGGGTGGAAGAAAAATACTGAATTCCAATACAGGCCATCTTAACCTGAGGGTAATGTTTCAGCCATCGCAAACCGGCCTTGGGCAGAGCTGGAGTCATGTCACCCTGCATTCTTTGCCACAAGCAGTAGCCCCCATCTCTGTGTGTTTACACACGCCTTCAGTCCATCTATGCATCTTTTCTCATATTACACACATATCCAGCCAGTGGTGCGGGAAGAATTAAGGCAGCTGGGGAGAAGACAGCAATTCAGCTATATGTGTGTGTGTATATATACACACACACACACATATACATATACATGTGGCGTGTGTTATTGCAATCTCTGTGTCAAATGTCTGGGCCATTTGTCCTTAAGGGTCCTGCATATGGATGGCATCCAAGCAGCCTCTGGCTGCCATTCTTATGATCACACAAAAAAAAGAGGTACAGTAGAGTCTTGCCTATCCAACATAAATAGGCTGGCAGAACGTCGGATAAGCAAATATGTTGGATAATAAGGAGGGATTAAGGAAAAGCCTATTAAATGCCAAATTATGTTATGATTCTACAAATTAAGCACCAAAACATCACGTTTTACAACAAATTGACAAAAAAGCAGTTCAATACACAGTAAAGTTATGTAGTAATTACTGTATTTATGAATTTAGCACTGAAACATCACAATGTATTGAAACAGCTGTGGATCTGGGTGGGAAGCAGATTGTGTTGGATAATAGAGAATGTTGGATGAGCAAAAGTTGGATAAGCGAGTGTCCACTGTAGAAAGGAAAATGGAAGAAAAAGGACTGGAGGAGGTTACATACCGTCTGCCCCGATTTTTCCATCTCCATCATGGTCTGCTGCTGCCATCAACGATTTGGTTTCTGTCGGTGTTAAAACTCGGGCTCCACTTTCAAACCTCTGGAGGAAAAATCTAGTGAGAGAAGGGACAAAAGCAACAGGGAGCTAAGGAAACAAAAATATCCGAAGAGGAATCCTATGCAACACAAAAGCTTCTTAACATCAGTAATAGAGGTTACTCAAAGAAGTGTGCGTGGGAGGGGGAAGATGAAGCTCTTTTGATAGAAGTGTTTAGGAAAGTGAGCAATCACTGAACAAGCACTGCAATGGGATATCTCATGGCTTAATTAGGAGGAGGTGCCTTTGGTTGTCTGAACCATGGCTTATGGAGTAAGTCATGCATTTCGGTGACAGATGAGCAGGAAAACCACTTGCCTTCTTAACTTTCGGTCTGTGCTCTTGCAACCCTCCCATGGGCTTTTATTTAAGGCTGGGGAACTGCATTGGAACAAGTCATGGTTTAAATGGATAAACCATACTTTATATAGTTCACCCATTTTGCAGCATCAGAAGACAAAAGGGGAAAGCGGGAGGAGAAGGGAGAAACTGGGACATTTTTAAACCAGCTGATAAAGTGGGACGGTGGTTGAATTAGGACTGTTCCCCTCGACCTGGGATGTTTGCAGGGCACTGACCACTGTATCGCATTGTCATCTCAAAGGGAAGTTCAATGAGTCGCCATTAGGCTGAGAATTGCGGTATATAAGCGAAGTAATAAATAAATAAGAATGAAAAACAGGAAAAGCCTCACTTGAGTTCATCTTCCTCTATGAAGCCACTCTGGTCATTATCCAGGAACCGGAAGATATCCTTCACTTGGCTGCTGCTCTTTTTGGCCATACCGGTGAGCTGAAAGAATTTTTTGTGGTTGAAACTATCTGGAGCTGAGACAGAAAAAGGAAAGCTTCTGTTAATTAGACATCCAGGGACAGAAGATAGAGATTTCCTTAGACTTAGGCCCCTTCCACACAGCTGTATAAAATCCACATTGAACTGGAATATATGGCAGTGTGGACTCAGGTAATCCAGTTCAAACGAGATATTGTGGATTATCTGACTTGATATTCTGGTTACATGACTGTGTGGAAGGGCCCTTAGAGTGCATCTACACGGCAACATTATTGCAGCTTCATACCACTTCAACTGCCATGATTCGCTGCTATGGAATCATGGGAGTGGTAGTTTTAGAACAGTGGTTCTCAACCAGGGGTCCCCAGATGTTTTTGGCCTACAACTCCCAGAAATCCCAGCCAGTTTACCAGCTGTTAGGGTTTCTGGGAGTTGAAGGCCAAAAACATCTAGGGACCCCAGGTTGAGAACCACTGTTTTAGAAGGTCTTTAGCTTTCTCGGCCCAAGAGTTCTGGTATCTCGCAAAACAACAATTCTCACTATTCTATAGCAATGAGCCATGGCAGTTAAAATGGTGTCAAATGGTATTTATTCTCAGATGCACCTTAGAGGCATTTAAAGATCCTTGGCTGTCCTCAGACATCCATGCTTCTTTTCACACAACTGCTTGCATGCATGTAAACCAGCCACCACTGCAGCTAAAAGAAATAATTTTCTTAAGCATTTGCCATAACTGCAAAATATAGTGTTTCAATTCATGCATATACAGTACAGCAGTACAAACACAATTGTGTGGGATGTCTATGAGAAATCAGGTACCAGATGTTTGTGGCCTACAACTCCCAGAAATCCCGACCAGTTTACCAGCTGTTAGGATTTCTGGGAGTTGAAGGCCAAAACATCTGGGGAACCCAGATTGAGGACCACTGCCTGAATGAATGCTGTACTGAAATCACTCTACCTCATTTACACAACTTATAGCAATGGAGGAGACCCACATAGTGGCATCACTGGGGATTGTGTGCAAAATGTGTGACACCATCAGAGGAGACACCAAAAAGACTTCTGTAAAATGTTGGTGTTGCGTTTCAGCAAAAACATGTTTTAATTAAGCATATCCACAAAGTTAGATATCCTGTAACCACAAAGACATTTTTGTAAGCCCATCTCGTATCTGCAGCATCAGTAGACCCACAAGGCTAAACCTTATGCTGTGTTCTGAACTTCTAATGCTCATGTGTTCTGATTAGAGCTGTCATTATTACCCAGTTGTAGTTGCACTTTCGTGTGCAGGCTTGGAGACTAGGGCATACTGGAGCCATGGGTTCAAATGACAGCAAAGGAGATTCCACCTGAACATTAGGAAGAACTTATATCCATCTTCAATATCATACAAACACATGGAGTGTACCGGAGTACCGGAGTACTGTTGCTTCCACTGTTTCTGGGTCTTTTTTATAGTCACTGATTTTTCTCTCTCAAATTTTCTTGTATTTTAGTTACAATATTGTGCATCAGTACCATTGTACATTCATCCACCAGAAATATGCATTGGCTACTTGACCAACTTTCCTGCCTAATAATGTAACAATAGCTCTCAATTATTATTATTATTATTATTATTATTATTATTATTATTATTATTACCCTGATTAATCTCCAGAAGAAGACTGATATGGATGCCAGATTCTAATACCCAGAGATACAAGTACCTCCTTCGAAAGATATAACATCTCAATAGGATTCTGGACATGTTTTAAGTTAATATTAAACCAAAGTAGACAATACATTAAAATACAGTGTACATTGAAATAATCTAAATTATACAGACAGTGTCAGTGTTCATTCAAACTGTATTGGCCCAAACTGGATGGGGTTATGATTTATTTATTTAGAAGTTTTCTATACCGGCCTTCTCACCTCAACGAGGGACTCAGGTCGGTTTACAGCTTATATGAAAGTACAATAGCATATAAGTACAACAAAGTGCAAAGTCATTACATATTAAAATAGTACAATAAAGTACAATAAAAACTCTGTATGGGTTATGACCCCATACAGAGTGACTGTAAGTGAACATTGGTATTGTGAAATATTTGGCAACAGTAAAAAGTTTCTGAATGCCACCTAGTGACTGTTTTAGGCATTTACACAAATATGTTATCAGCAACCTGTAGCGTTTACAGTGTACTTTGCAGCAAATGCCTCCACTGTACTTAATAAAAAGGGAAAATCAATGTCATGCAAAGCACCAATGATTACAAAATCAAGGTATTGATCATATCTGGAAAACATTGAAGAGGGTCTATATCCTACAGTATCAAATGCACAGCCAAGATTTAATGAAGCACCCCCATCTCATTGGAATGCAAATTGGCTTTTGTCTTTAATAAATGGTAAAATTATAGAATTGCTTTGAAATAATTTTTTATGATTTATTACCAGTAAATGTTTGATTTGCATGCCTATTTTATATATCTATATTGTTGTACAGCGTGAGGTGGATCGGTTCACTGATTATTTAAGAGGGGATTGTGGGATTTCCTGTGGCACAAAGTTATGAAGATTCAAGTCAGGGAAATGATGGTTCTCTCTGGGAGAAATCTGACTTAGAAAGTGCAGGGCTTCAAGATCAGTCAGAGGAGTCAGAAACTGCAACATTAGATAAGAAGTCAGGCAAAGAGCTAAGTGATATGAAAGGCTCCCAGGGAAAAACACATGGAGCTACCTACGGAGATCCACAAAAGTCTTCGTTTACAGATTAGAGCAGAAAATAGGTGGCACTGGTCTGCACAATTATGTGGGAAAGTTGGGGAGAAAATTAGTGGGAAAAAGAATGATTTCATGGGTGCCTATTAATTAGCAAGTTGTTTACCTAAGGGTTAGTTCAGGCAACATAGCATTCGAGTGAGACACTAGGCCTGAGTTCTCTGGTTCTTGTTTCAAGTCAAGCCTTGGTTTTGGAGTTAAGTATCCTGGAAGTTTTCTGTGTTCTCGTTTTTGTATTTCTGCTCAAGTTTTACTTGGGGACTTATACAGTACTTGTGATTTTTTGGCTATTGCTGGACTGTGTTACTTTGGAATTTACATGAGACATTTGGATTACTGTTTGGTTATAACCTATTGCTAACTCTTTTTTGGATTATATATCTTCTTTCTTTATTCTTTCTTTATTTCTGAATTTTCATATATTTTATGTGTTTTTACAATAAACGGTTTGCTTATACTCTGGACTTTTGTGTAGGTCTTTCCAGGCCTGGGGTGCAACATATATACCAGGGTTGTGTCAGAATTTCTCGGATAAAAAGGCAAAAGGTTTAAGAAGTTGCAGAAAGGCCTGAATGGCTCCATCCTGACTCTCCTTCCTCCAGCAAGTAAAAAAAATCTTATTCCATCAAGCATTTAGAAACTAAGGTCCCATCTACACTGCCATATAATACAGTTTGAAACTGCATTATATGGTTAGTGTAGACTCATACAATGCATTCAGGGCAGTTAAACTGCATCATAAGAGTACCCCAGGCATGGGCAAACTTGGGCCCTCCAAGTGTTTTGGACTTCAACTCCCACAATTCCTAGCAGCCTTGTGGCTGCTAGGAATTGTGGGAGTTGAAGTCCAAAACACCTGGAGGGCCCAAGTTTGCCCATGCCTGGTCTACCTTAACCTTAAAATGCAGTTCCTTTATATGGCAATGTAGATGGGGCTTCAAATGGGCTTTTAAGTGTGTTTCTTATGCTGTTTTGTTGGTCTGTACATAATCTTTAAATTAATTGCAATGGTTTTAATATTACAATTTTTCAGGAATAACCTGAATATTTAATATTTTTAGTATAGGGATCTCTATAGGGGAAGTTTATTTATTTATTATTTATTTATTTACTCCATTTGTATACCGCATTTATCAGCCTGGAGCGGCGACTCAATGCGGTTTACAGTAAAAATAAACAGTGAACAATATATAAGACGTACATCGACAAACAATACACATAATCATCAACGCCTACTTAGAATCAGATCCCGTTCTCATAGTCCTTAATTCAATCCTTGTTCAATGCCGTCATTATTGGGGTGGTTGTTACTGCATAGCTAACCGAATGCCTGCTCATAGAGCCACGTCTTAACCCTCCTTCGAAACACCAGCAACGAAGGGGCCTGCCTGATGTCCACTGGTAACGCATTCCATAGCCGAGGGGCCACTACCGAGAAGGCCCTGTCTCTCGTGCCCGCCAACCGCACTTGTGACGCTGGCGGGACCGAGAGCAGGGCCTCCCCGGACGATCTTAACGCCCTTGCCGGTTCATAGGTGGAGATGCGTTCGGAGAGGTAAGTGGGGCCGGAACCGTGTAGGGCTTTATAGGCTAAAGCCAGCACCTTAAATTGTGAAGTTGCCTTGGGGCCTACTACTAGGGAAAAGAAGGGGCATAAATGAATTAAATCAATTAATCAATAAATAACTAATAAATGGCTGAGATGATCCTGTCATTTGAAGGGCAATTTTCATTCTTTTAGAAAAAGAATTATTGTGCTATAGTACAAAAGTGCTATTCTATTAATAAATTAACACATTGATCCACAAATGCACAAAAATTCTAAGCATGAAAAACAGAGAGTAGACTTTTTGTTTTAATTTTTCTTTGAATTCAAAGGAAACCCAGGCACCTTCTACACTGCCATACAATCCAGGTTATCAAAGCAGATAATCCAGATTATCAGATTTGAACTGGATTATATGAGTCTACACTGCCATATAATCCAGTTCAAAACAGATCATCTGGATTTTATATGGCAGTGTATATGGGGTCCCATTTTCTGTTTCTGGGAATTGCCAGAAAATTTCTGAGAGTGCCTTGGACTGCGAGAAGATCCAACCAGTCCATCCTCCAGGAAATAAAGCCCGGCTGCTCACTGGAGGGAAGGATACTAGAGACAAAGTTGAAGTACTTTGGCCACATCATGAGGAGACAGCAAAGCCTAGAGAAGACAATTATGCTGGGGAAAGTGGAAGGCAAAAGGAAGAGGGGCCGACCAAGGGCAAGATGGATGGATGGCATCCTTGAAGTGACTGGACTGACCTTGAAGGAGCTGGGGGTGGTGACGGCTGACAGGGAGCTCTGGTGTGGGCTGGTCCATGAGGTCACGAAGAGTCGGAGACGACTGAACGAATGAACAACAGACAACAAGACAGAGGCAATGGAAACATGGATTTGGATATTTAAAAAGAAACTACAGAGGACTTCAGCAACAATTCTCCAGAAATATTTGTCCCATTTGGAAGAACATAGTTTACTGACAGTGCAATAAATTGTCTTTCAGGTTTGCTTCATTACTCTTAAGGTATCATATCCCATCTGTTCTTGAATGCTAAGCAGGGCCAGCCCTGATTAATACTTGGATGGGAGACCACCAATGAATACCAGGCATTGTAGGCTGGATTTCCAAGGAAGGGGCTGGAAAAAACACCTCTGAGTGTTTTCTTTGCCAAAGAAAACCCTATACCATAAGTTGGCAAGTGACATTAAGGCACATATACTTACACACAGGGCTTTAAGCCTTTTCTTGTGGCTTTTGCTTCCAAAAAAACCCCAGTACTTTTAAAGCACAATAAAAACAATATGCAGTCATTTTACCTTGGCAGTCTCTGAGTGCAGCAGCCAGGTCGGAAGGGCTGATGAGGTCGTTGAGGCTCATATTAATCTGTTCCAGAAAGGAATAAAAGTACTGTAAAAGGCAAGTGAAGTGAAATGCGAGATGCAGAAGAGAGGAAAAAAGCAGATCTTTAACAAAACCAGTTCGTGTGTGTGACTTATAAGCAACTGGGATTTGTACTTTGGCTGGAATGCTCTCTGCAGATTAAGACACTAGAGCTGTGTAGCAGAGAATTCTAAGTTTCTCAGCAAATTGCAAATCCAAAAGTCTTGTAGATTAGCAGCATGCCATGAGCAACCTCATCAGATGGGGTCCAAATCAGTAGCTGTGTGTAACTGGTCACTTTGTTCACACTGACAGTGCAATAAATTGTCTTGCAGCTGTGCTTCATTACTCTTAAGGTATCAGATCCTTAAGAGTATATGTAGACTCATATAATCCAGTTCAAAGCAGATAATGTGGATTATCTGATTTGATAATCTGGATTATATTGCAGTGTATAAGTGGCCTGTGCCTGCACTTAAGATGCCTTAGGATTCTCTGGGTATAGCTACACTGTAGAATTAATGCAGTTTGATGTCATTCCAACTGCCATGGAATCGTTTCAGGCCCTGTCTATACTACCATATAAAATCCAGATTATCTGCTTTGAATTGGATTATATGGCAGTGTAGACTGATATAATCTATTTCAAAGCAGATAATGTGGATGATATGGCAGTGAAGATCCAGCCTCAGTTGTAGTTTTAGAAAGTCTTTAGTCGTTTTTGCTATGTGGGGCTAATAACCCAGCAAACTATAAATCCCATGAGGCTTCAGCAATGGCAGCTGATGTTGTGTCAAACTGCATTAATTCTACAATGTAGATGCGCCATCTGTTGAGTTGCTGGAGCAGACCAATATGACAACCCATTGGAAATTAACAGGTTTCTTCTCTTCTGGAGCCTAGCCTATCTTAATATCTTCTCCATCTTTCATCCTCTGGCAAGCTGAGAGATACCAAAATGATGCCTTTACAATGTACATTTTAGTTACCCAGATCCAGATTGAATGTGGAATGTGTTCACTAAAAAGATAATTATTCCATTTTCTCGTGGCATTTGGACCGATTCTGGTCAGTAAAAAATAATAATTCTATCTTCAAGAACCATCGTGTTTGAAAGATCAGCAACAGACTTTGAATTCTACTCCTTGCAGCAGGAATACACAACTAAAGCACTCTCAAAAGATTCTCTGTTCAAAGACCTCCAAAGAAGGAGAGTCCTCCACCCTCCAGTCAAGAAGACCTTCCTAATATTTCAGCAGACTCTCTTTTCTTGGAATTTGAAAAAGAATTCTTCGGTTCACAAACGTTTGACTTATTTGTGGTTTCTCCAAAGAGGCAAAAGAGAAAATGCAGAATAAACATTAGATAATAAGTTAATATTAAAGAGGCAACTGGGTACTTACTTCTTGGTGAGCTGGACACAGATGTTTCTGCCCTTGGAGCCGGTTGCTCCCCTTGTAATGGTTCCCAGGGAACAAAGGAACAGAGCTGGATTGATCTCCGGCAGAATTGTACCTTTGGCTTCCAGTCACCTGCCCAATTTATATAGGTTTCAAAAGGTGACAATAGCTTCTTGGGTTACCTTTTCATGGATTAGATGCTCAATTTGAGCCCCTGCTCAAATGTCTTGCTTAACTAATGAACTGGGTTTCTTTCCTCTCCGATTTAAACCCAAGTATGATATTGTAGAAAGAACTGCAGGCAGGAAATGAAGGCATTGGCTTCAAAAGTAGCCCAAGACCTTTTGCCGCCCGAGGTGAAGGCCAAGATGGTCTCTTCTCTATTTCACACCCAGAAGTTGGCTGGACTCTTGGCTATTTGCGGCTGATGTTTCGTGAGCTGACGGATTTTAACTGAGTTTTTGTCTAAAGTTTAAAGAAGCTTATCCAAGGTAATGGATCCTATCCAGAGGAGGATAGCACAGGCATGGGCAAACTTTGGCCCTCCAGGTGTTTTGGACTTCAACTCCCACAATTCCTAACAGCCGGTAGTTTGCCCATGCCTGGGATAGCACATTGGAGAGATCCTTTCATATTTGGGTTAAACCCTGGGATGGATTCACCATCCCACTGACATGGAAGCCATTTGGAGCTATTGCTGCAAATTTTAATTTTTCCTAGGACTGGCGAAATGCCATGTTTACTCTAATCTAATGTTCACCTTTTTTGACTAAATTATCCGCCAAAATTAGGGTGCACATTAGGTAAAGGTAAAGGTTTTCCCCTGACATTAAGTCCAGTCGTGTCCGACTCTGGGAGGTGATGCTCATCTCCATTTCTACGCCAAAGAGCCGGCGTTGTCTGTAGACACCTCCAAGGTCATGTGGCCGGAATGACTGCATGGAGCTCTGTTACCTTCCCACTTGAGCAGTACCTATTGATCTCACATTTGCATGTTTTCGAACTGCTAGATTGGTAGAAGCTTGGGCTAACAGCCGGAGCTCATGCTGCTCCCCAAATTGGAATCAGCAACTATTCAGTCAGCAAGTTCAGCTGTGCCACCGGGGGCTCAGGGTACACATTAGATTTGTGTAATACAGTAATCTTAGTGTTGAGCCAAAGTAAAAAGGGAATCTGCTTCAGGAGCACCTGGAACTCCAATTTGATGACATTATCTCCAATTTAATGGCCACTGCTCAATGCTATGCTATCCTAGGATTTGTAGTTTGGTGAGGCAGTAGCATTCTTTGGCAGAGAACCCTCAAGACCTTATAAAACCATATGAACACATTTTCTTTAGTGTCAGGAGTGACTTGAGAAACTGCAAGTCACTTCTGGTGTGAAAGAATTGGCTGTCTGCAAGGAAATTGCCCAGGGAACGTCCGGATGTTTGATATTTTACCATCCTGTGGGAGGCTTCTCTCATGTCCCCATATAGGAAGCTAGAGCTGAGAAGGGAGCTCACCCCGCTTCCTGGATTCGAACTGTCAACCTGTTGGTCAGCAGTCCTGCCGGCACAAGGGTTTAACATATTGCGCCACCAGGAGCTCCCATATGATTTCATAATAATGAACTATGGCAGCTAAAGTGGATTCATTCAACAGCACAGATGTTTCCCAAGATTTTATTTTCCACTAGCCATCCCCTGCCACACGTTGCTGTGGCCCAGTCTGTGTATATGTGTTTTGTGTGTGTATATATGTGTATATGCGTGTGTGTATATTTGTGTATATGTGTATTTATGTGGTTATGCGCATATGTTGTAATGTATATATATATATATAGGCTTTTTAAGTCTCTTCCGCTGTGTTTTTCAATGTTTTTATGAGTGATGGTCACTTGTTGGCCTGATAGGTTTATTGTTTCCAAATTTAGTGTCAATTCGTCCAGTGGTTTTTGAGTTATGTTAATCCCACAAACTAACATTACATTTTTATTTATATAGACTAGCCGTCCCCTGCCACGCATTGCTGTGGCCCAGTCTGTGTATATGTGTTTTGTGTGTGTGTGTGTATGTCTATATTGAAATGTAAGGGAATGGCGTCCCTACCTTCGGGAACTTGCCAAACCACTTTGAATCACCAGAAGCCCAAATAGTTAGAAACAAAAACACAGGTTTATTTTGAACTGCAGTTAGAAGGCGGATAGACAACACGTACACAGAGTTGTGTTGTTACTAAGCTGCCGCGCGCTTATGGCGCTGTTTCAGACCTTATATACTCTTAAGCAAACATTTTGCAGTTATGTCTCAAAGTCTATGTCCTGTGGTTATTCATTACATATCAATTGTTATGTCTGTAGTTGTTCATTACATATCAATAATTATGCTGCAGTAAGCAACTGAGCTATGCACCCCGTTTATCAGTGGGTGCTGAGCAATCGCCTAATCCCATTATCTATAAGAGTGGACTTTGTGACCAAGCTAAGGCAATTATGGTATCAGCCCCAGATTCTGTCGCATAAGGACAATATTTTCAGACATGAGTAATTTTGAAAATGACATTTTCTCAATTCCCTCTCAGTAATATCTTTTTTATTTTTTGGCTTTTTAAGTCTCTTCTGCTGTGTTTCCCAGTGTTTTTATGAGTGATGGTCACTCATTGGTTTGATATGTATATTGTGTCCAAATTTGGTGTCATTTCGTCCAGTGGCTTTTAAGTTATGTCAATCCCACAAACAAACATTACAATTTTATTTATATAGATTGCTGGAATTTTTGTTTTTTTTAAAAGGAATTTTAAGTAGGATGCGACACACCTTTTCTGGCCAAATGTCAAGCGTGCACTATTTGCTGCTGCACATTACATTCGCCAGCAAATATATTTTGGGTTTCATGGTTTTGAAAATTGAGTTGTGCATTAGATTCACTGGTGCATTAGACTCTACTAGTACGGTAGAAGCGTAGACCACATCAGGGGTTTAGATGATCCATTTGAGCTTTAGTGTGACCATCAGGTTTAGAATCTTAAATCCGACATCCATTATTTCATTACCCCAAGTGGCAAAATCCTAGGCAGCCAATGATCTGACCAAATCCCTTCATGAATTCTGAGGATGGGGTGCCCAAAACAAGCTGTCTGGAAGCTGTTCGTCTTGACTAATAATGGATATGAAGGGGGATGAGCTTTGTGGTAGAGCGAATGTTTTGGGTGTAACCCATCTCATGTTCAATTACTGGCATCTCTGGAAAAGGAAGCACCTCAAAGAGACACTGCTAGTTGGGACAGACTATTATTATGTGCCTGCAAATAACCTCTAAGGTTGAGAGAGTGTGACTTTCCCAAAGCCACCCAGTAGGTTTCTATGTCTAAGTGGAGATTTGAACCCTGTAATTTAACATTCAAAGCATTATATCCCACTGGCTCATCTTCTAGTGTAAAATCTAGATTGACCAATTGTTGTTGTTTATTCGTTCAGTTGCTTCTGGCTCTTTGTGATTTTATGGACCAGCCCACGTCAGAGCTCCCTGTCGGCCTTGGCCACCCCCAGCTCCTTCAAGGTCAATCCAGTCACTTCAAGGATACCATCCATCCATCTTGCCCTTGGTCGGCCCCTCTT